TTGTTAATTTTATAAGTTCATTGCAGTTTTAATTTAAATTCAGCCGTTTAGTGGGCTGCTATGCTATAATTAGATTGTTGTTGTCGTTGTGTGAAATTTAAATTTCTCCTGCGATATTTTGATTGGATACTAAATATAAACTTTGCTGTGGGCGGAAAGCGATCAGGTTAAGTTTTGTGTCAGGCTCTATTTGTAAAATAGAGCCTGATGCTCAGGATAGTCAAATAGCAAATCGGAACGCGCGAAAGTTCATTTGATATGCAAAATTTAAACTAATTAACAATTATTTGCCGAAGGCGAGGTGATTATCGGGGAATATTCGCCGAGACGAAGTCGAGGTGAATATTCTCCGATAATTACCGAGTCTGAGGCGAATAACTGATTTAGTATTTTTGCACAAGTTTTTTTGTTTTTTTCTGGTCTGAATTCATTTTAATTTCGCTTATTTGTTTATCACTAACTTCAACAGAACGGCTAGCCGGCATTTTGAAAATTTCGATTTTACAGATTAATATGTCAAATTTGACCAATCACCTTGTAGGATTTGTTACGTTCACTTGTGTAAAAATACTAATACGTTATATTCCTCATTTATAGACATCGATGAATGTATCAACGATAGCCATAATTGCTCAGTAAACGCTATATGTAATAATCAAATCGGAACCTACGAATGTCTATGCAACGATGGATATCAAGGGACTGGAATACAATGCGGTTAGTAAAATTGGCCTATTATGCATTTATATTTGAATGCTATGTATACGTTTTTGTGATATATTTTGCATAACAAATAATAACGCGTAAATTAGGAACAAAATCTTCTATCACATATGGCCAAAATGAAAAAAGTAACACGCAAAACAACGTAAATTCGTTCCGGTGTTTCAAAGCACAAACCTGTACCAAAACCACATCAAGTTACTGAAAAAACGTATGATATTTCTAATTTAAACTTACTTTTAGTCTTTATCGATTGGAAACTTCTTCCATTTTTTTGCAAACTCAGTTTAAGATTTAATGAAAGTTCACTTTGTTTGTCACTATTAGGCATGAAGGAGAGTATCGGGGTGTCTTTTGTAAACAAAGATGCCATTTTCCGTTTGCAAAATTGTTTCAGATTTCAAAGTGAATAAATATAATCAAGTAGAAATTGAACTTCGTGTCGTTTAATTTTGGTTTGTAATCAAACTTGTGATTACAAATCGCACGGAAGATATGTTTCTTTATATTTCTTTTGCTATATTATTAAAAATATATAAAACATATTTGCGTAGTGATATACAGTTATGGAAATTGTGAAAACTGGAAATTGTGTGAAAATACTCCGCCTTCCAGGTGTCCTGTTTCCACACAATTTCTCATTTCCACAAAATTTGATAAATGTTTTATATTTGTTAAATATAAAACGATATGAAAAAAAAAGAAGCGTTCTTCAGACAGACACTTGACTCACCCACCTTAGTGGGTATGACGTCATAGCCAACCCGAGAATACGTCTACTTCAGGTCTCCGGCAATCAAATGTGTTAGTATGAATAGAGAGGCTGGTAAATATACCAACTTAACTCGTTATGAAAATTGGCTGCTTCAATGTGTATTTATACAATTTTAATAATAATAATAATAATAATAAAAATCTTTATTTTGGTAATCCTTAGACACAACAGACGTGTGTTTTCACACGATTTTAGTAACACTTTCTAAAATGTACTATTTACTGTGTTTACAATATTAATATAATAATTTAAGATAATTTACACGCATCTAACAAAAACTAAAAATGGACAAACAGACACCTATTTATAAAAGAGCGCTTAAATCTTTCAGTTCTGACTTGAGGTTGAATGAAAGGATGATCGCGTTGCGATCGTTGAGAAATGTAATATTTTGGTTTCATTGGCATGCTAGACAGAATGCATTGTTTCATTTCATTAACTTAAAAATAACTGTTTTATGTGCATGTAAATAAACTTTGAAATCACAGCAATTTACATGCCAAATTTATTGCAGAGTAAGATTTCTGGACTAGATTTCCTCTCATTTTTATTCAGTACTTGCCTTCGTATCGACGCTTTGATCAAACTTCGCTTTGATCACAGTGCGCGGACTTAAAATCTAGTCCAGTCCTCATGGTCGGATTTGAAATATTACATAATATGGCTATAGAGTGTGAGGATGCTTTCGTAGTGTGGTTATAAGTTTTCAAAATTTCGGTTTTCGGTTCATACCCTAACTTCCACCCCACGACTACTTTTTGCACAATGGTAGTATACATTCCTGGTCGTTTTCCCGCCTTTCTGCTGTTTCCTTTGTGGTTCAAAATAAAAATGATAAAATTGGTTTAATCTTACATCTAGCCAGTACCATGCCAAACTGGCAATATTTCTGTTAAACCATAGAAACAGTATATAGATGCAGATATTTTCAGCGTTCTTACTTTCTATTTTTTCGTCAAACATTACACCAAAATTAAAGTATGTACGCCTACATGGTCAGAATAAATACTTCTTTGTTCAACGTTAGTGTAACATATCTTGAGCATATTTTCAGAACTTCCAACAGGTATTAACATTTTTATAACCTATTTTAATAAGGAATTTGGAATTTTCAGTAAGAGTTTAGTCTTTGCGCAGCCTACACATCTTACTGTAATCGGATCCCTTTATAAACAGCGCGAGAATGTTTCCGACAAGCTCCTTTCACTTCTTACATTTGTACTATATCTGTTCGTTCTACCACTCCTTATTCGCCATACCTGGTCTTGCCCTTTGAATGTATTTTTAGGATCTGTCACAGTACTAATTTCTCATGTATTATCTCTATAGATGATGTTAATGAATGTACAGCCACACCCCCAAAATGTTCAGGAACAGGTCAAAGTTGTACCAACTTTCCAGGAGCATATCGCTGTAATTGTATTAGTCCCAGGCAGCAACTTAATGCTGTCGGATCAGAATGCATTGGTATGTATGATATTAATTAATATTAAGACGGACTCAGCTAATCTTTTCATTTGCCTGAATCTTTCACGTGTCTTTAAAACCAATACCAAAACGTCAAACTTTTGTGCAAATCTTAAAACGATAAATGTTTTTCGCCTTATATATATATATATATATATATATATATATATTCAAAAGAATGGGAAAGAACTTAAAATTCTAAATTATTCTGCACTTTCTCCGTGCCTATGGTCTACCCGAGTTTAGCTTAGGCCCCGTATACATGAGACCGGGACGAAGTCAAAGCGGAATGAGAATTGAAATTGCCAACATGTTTACATGAGATCGGTACAAAAATCACAAAATTTTCAATTAATGCCCCTTGCCAGGCAATTGACCACTTGCGTAATAGACTAAATTTTGATCTCAACAAAAATTTTATCACAGCTTGAAAGAGCATCACAAAATTAGTAATATGTATTCCAAAGTTTCGTGCGAAATGTTGTAAAATGCGGATAATATAGCATTGCGAAGTTTGCAATTTTCAGTCATTTGAGATTATAAACGGGAAATTGACAGCCCAATCCCCTTTGGGACTGTCAATTTCCCGTTTGTAATCTAAAATGACTGAAAATTGCAAACTTCGCAAGGCTATATTATCCGCATTTTATACAACATTTCGCAACGAAACTTTGGAATATTACTAATGTTGTGATGCTCTTTCAAGCTGTGATGAAATTTTTGTCTAAACTTGTTTAGATCAAAATTTAGTTTATTACGCAAGTGGTCAATTTTCTTTTTTAATTAAAATGGATTTTGTTAGCATGTGTTGTTCCAATGTCAATTAGGTTACAGCCGAGAGCACTCTGTCTACATTCATCCCAGTTTCATTCATGCCGGCCTAAAGTCAGTAATTAGCTTGGTCCGGCAGGCTTTGACTTATTTTCGTCCTGGTCTCATGTAAATATTTATTATAAATAATACTATGACCAAAACGAAATGTTGCCGGTTTGACTTCGTTCCGTTCTCATGTAAACTGGGCCTTACCTTACCCCAACTTGACTCGCCTTAATAATAAGAAACATTTCCTTGCCCTACCTCATCGAATCATATCACTATCATCGAATCATATCAACCGTTTACGGAACATTCTACTCTACCTTACTTTACCTTATTTTACTCGTTGGGTACGCGGAAATTCAAGCCCCCTTACGGCGTCAAGTCAGGACGTTATATCACCTTAACTCACCCTACAGCATTTTATCTTGCATTCCTTTAACTAAATTTACCATTTTCCATCTTATCATACCTTATCTTACTCAAGCTACTTCACCTTATCAATTCTATCTTCTCTTGCGATATCTCAACCTTATCTTACCTTACCTTATACCTTACCATAATTCCATTACATTTCCATTACATTTCCATTACATTTCCATTACATTTCCATTACCATTTCCATTACCATTTCCATTACATTTCCATTACATTTCCATTACATTTCCATTACATTTCCATTACATTTCCATAACATTTCCATAACATTACATTACATTTACATTACATTTACATTACATTTACATTACATTTACATTACATTTACATTACATTTACATTACATTTACATTACATTTACATTACATTTACATTACATTTACATTACATTTACATTTACATTACATTTACATTACATTTACATTACATTTACATTACATTTACATTACATTTACATTACATTTACATTACATTTACATTTACATTACATTTGCATTACATTTACATTACATTTACATTACATTTACATTTACATTTACATTTACATTACATTTACATTACATTACATTACATTTACATTTACATTACATTTACATTACATTTACATTACCTTACATTATTACATTTACATTATTACATTTACATTATTACATTTACATTATTACATTTACATTATTACATTTACATTATTACATTTACATTATTACATTTACATTATGACATTTACATTATTACATTTACATTATCACATTTACATTATTACATTTACATTATCACATTTACATTACTACATTTACATTATTACATTTACATTATTACATTTACATTATTACATTTACATTATTACATTTACATTATTACATTTACATTATTACATTTACATTATTACATTTACATTATTACATTTACATTATTACATTTACATTATTACATTTACATTATCACATTTACATTATTACATTTACATTATTACATTTACATTATTACATTTACATTATTGCATTTACATTATTACATTTACATTATTACATTTACATTATTACATTTACATTATTACATTTACATTATTACATTTACATTATTACATTTACATTATTACATTTACATTATTACATTTACGTTACATCACATTACGTGATTAGCTTATCTTATCGCCTTACCTAGCTCATGCATTTGGAGTAATCTAGCTTAGGAATTAGGAATTAGGATTTTTTCAAATTACATCGCAGCAAAAGCTGAATTACGTAGTAGTTACAAACTATTATGTATTAAAGTGCTGCGTCTATTAGCATTAAAAATTACAGTTATCATATTCAACACGACTTATTGATTGCACATGGCAAAGTTAAATGACTTTTTAGTCCTATTTGTTTTAATAAGAGAAACATTAAAATTGTTTTCGTTTCTTAGAAAGTGGATCAAATTATATCTTTCGGGAACTAAAAGACAAGTCTTATGATTTCTATCAAGCATTACAGATCGAAATTAACGAATTGTCACATATATTTTCATCACCAGATTTGACTAACCACACCTAACCTCAACCCTCATATTTTGCTACCTTACCTGACCTTATCCAACCTTATCTTGCACTCTCAAATTAAATACTTTGCCTTTGGTTAAATTCTATTGCATTATCATTAAGTGGGACAGAAAATTAAATAATGTGGCTATTGCATGATGTGTTTATTAAATCTATCCAATATTCCCAACCTAAACTTATCCTGAATTTAGATACAACCGATTATTAATCTATCTAGATGTGGTGGCGTCTGTCCAGGGTGGCATAAAGATTATAAATCGTGTATTCGAACCAGAGTATAATGACATAAACAGCGCAGGATACTTTGCAATTACTCAAGTAATCATCATTGCGGTATGAACATAATTTGTGCAGTTTTATACTTCATAAAAAACGTAACAGTATTTACAAATGAGTGAATGCATCGCTGAGCACTGAAGCAATATGTTTACTTACTAAAAATGTTTAAAGGACCAAAGCTCACAGTAATGTACTACAATGTACTACAAGTATTAACAGAATATTAATGGTGTTTCATCTTTTAGTTGGAGGCAAATTACAGAAACACGAGGTTTGGAGCTATCTTTGTCGGAATCATTATTACTCGAATATAGTAAGTGGTTCATTTTTTTATTCAGCACAAATATGTTTACCTAGTACTTAATATGATTAATTTTAACACCGGAAAACTCGTAACTGACAAACGCATGCAGAATTTGTTTTCACTCAACTATATATCCTAAATTAGAAAGAAAAAATTAGCCTGCCATTTGGTCGGAGGATCGTGGCAATGTCAAAGTGGCCAGTGTAGATATAGGCATAGTCAGAGTTTCAAGCCGGTTAAAGACGAGCAAGTTTTCTATGACAAGTTTCCATATTTTTTAAAATTTGCGAGTCCACGACTGAAACAGCCTGTAGCGTTTAGGAACCTTTTGTTTATTCTCTTGTATGGATATTTTCCGATTCGTATGAAAGTTAAACTTTATTCAAATTCTATTAAAGAGATGTCAATTACATATAGTTATCAATATAAACAAATACCAGTGTGTATAAAAAATACTCCATTCCAATATAAACTTACAAGTTGCACAATCCTGAATAATAATAACTCAATTGTCCCGCAACCATTCACCGTTACTTTAAACTATAAATAATGTAATATTTCCAACGTATTTTGTCCTTATATTTGTCCTGAACATCGACAACTCGTGGTGTTTTCCGCTTAATTCACATCGTTCAAAATCCGATTTGGTTTCCAGTCCTACTAAACTATAACGCAACGTCACGACGACCATGCTGATATAATATCAGTTACGATTTCACTCGCTACGCTGGTTTTTATAAATGAAAACTAAGACCAGTCGAATTGCTTTCACGATCCATTGTTTTGACTGGCACTTGTGTGTCTTCATCATGGGTAATCTAACTTTGCAATGTCGTCCAACAAGATGGATATATTCCTGTCGTAAAAAGCACGTTATCTCTATCCAAAGCATGATTTTTCATATCTAAACACCGTAACAACCAAAGAGATCTCTCATATTAAACACCGTAACAACCAAAGAGATCTCTTTCACAATTCTAAAGAGTTACGGAAACAAAACTCTTGTGGACGCCTGCCTTATTTTCAAAGTACCTATGCCCTTGCCAATGATTTGGTAGATTTTTCGTCAAGAAAATCGCCGATATTCGATCTAAACTATGCGTTCAACATCCCTCCACTGCCACTGATCAACCTGACCAAGATTACCTCGAAACAAGTGATGTCCCGCTCCATCAAAATTTCTCAAGAACTCTCATAATGACTTTTCCTACAAAATCTTGCTCATTAGATCCTATACCTACATATTTAGTCAAAAACTGCATAGACGTTCTACTTCCAATGATAACTACCATGGTGAATATTTCGCTACAAACTGGTCACTTCTCCGTTGACTGGAAAAATGCTGTCGTTCATCCTAATCTTAAAAAGGAGAATTCAGAACCAAATTTCGAGAATTATCGACCTCTCAGTAATCTTGACTTTACTTCAAAGCTTGCTGAGAAGGCTGCCAAAAACCAACTTCATTCTTTTTTGGAAGAGAAACAACTGTTTCCATCTGGGCAGTCAGCCTATCGCCCTTATCACAGCACAGAAACCTTACTGCTTAAATTTAAAAACGACCTTCTTCTAAAAATGAATAAGCAACATGTGACACTTGTTGTTCTACTGTTGTTCTTGTTTTTCCTCAGTGCTGCCTTCAACACTATTAATCACATAATTCTTCTCCGACGTCTTCAACACAAATTTGGCATCTCTGACACTGCCATCAAATGGTTTTCCTCATATCTCGCTGGCCACTCCCAACGAATCATCATAAATGGAGTACAGTCTGATATGTACAAACTCGAACATGGCGTCCCTCAAGGGTCTTGCCTTGGCCCTCTATTATTGGTCCTTTACACCAGTAAATTATTTGATATTGTGAGCTCTCGTCTTCCCAACGCCTCCAGTTATGCTGATGACTCCCAATCATATCTCTCATTCAAGCCGAACGAAACATAAGGCGAACGAAACCACCGCCTTGCTTGAAATGCAATCCTGTGTTGTGGAAATTAAGAAATGGTTATGTAATGATAAGTTGTTAATGAACGACGACAAGACTGAATTTATCATCATTGATACGAAACAACAACTTGCAAAAGTCAATATTGGCAACATTACCAACGGTAAAACCCATCTCAGTAGCAAAGAATCTTGGTGTATGGCTCGATTCTAGCTTATCTATATCGACTCACATAAACAAACTTTGTTCCGCGGCGTTTTATCATCTACGCGACATAAAAAGGTTTAGAAAATACTTTTCTCGTGAATCTGCTACAATATTAGTTCACGCATTCATCTCGTCACGGCTACTGCAACAGTCTTTTATATAGCCTTTCGGCGTATCAGCTCAACAAGCTTCAATGTGTCCAAACTGCAGCCGCCATAATTATACGTCGCCTTCCTAAATTCTGCCATATAACTCCTGTTCTGCGTGAACTTCATGCACTAGCTACCCGTCAAGTTCCTAATCGACTGTAAGATTCTCCCATTAACTTTTAAAGGACTTCATGAAATGTGTTCTGATTATCTGAAAGATTTCCTTGTTATCTGCAATAATAAGAGATATAACCTACAATTCTCTATATCCATAATAAAACTTGTTACCAACCACGATTTGAAGACTCGACAGCCTCTGAAATTTGTTTAGCTTCAATTAGAGCGGAGTTCAGACGTCAGAGCTTCCAGTCAATTGTAAAATGCGCTGTTCCGTTTTTTTACACAAGCCGTTAATATAATCGTAGTTAAGCGATTTTTCGGTGTTCATGAACATCACAAGTGGGTTTAATTCGAAAAGATTTCGATCGATGAAGCGAGGTAAACGTGGTACGCTTTCGTATTAAAATTAGGTACTCGGGGAAAACCCGAAAATTACTGTAATTGTCAATGCTAATATTTTTTAATCCAAACTCTGTATGTCTATTTTGCACGATTGGAAATGAATTTAAACTGGAAACAAGACTTGATCTAGAAGATTACTATAGAGACTGATTATTATAAAAGATCCAGTTGCAATCGTGAATGCCAATTGAATTGGATTTGGATTATAGTTTGAACAAGGGTTTTGATTAGTGTTTCAGCCAGGGCTTGGCTGAAATTTAATCAAGAGTCATATATGGAACAGTCTCCAAATGACCCCCACACCAACTCTATCCTGACCCCTCCACCCACCCCACCTCTATTGTGATGTCATTTGAGGACCTTTATATCAACTTCACCTGAAATTGTTTAATTAGGAGAGCTAATAAAGGGTGAAGTTTAGTTTCATACAATATATACAATACAATACAATACAATACAATACAATACAATACAATACAATACAATACAATACAATACAATACAATACAATATGATTTATTAGTTAATCCCCGTAAGGGCTTTTCATAACTAATTTACAAAGAAGTGTAGTAATATGATATTTACATGCAATTATTTAGAACTTGTGTTAAAAAAATAGATTGTCTGTAGCTAAACTAGAATTACTGTATATTACGAGGAATATTAAAAATTAATTCAGTCTATTGATTAACTCTGTTCGTACGGCCTTCTTAAATCTTCCTAGAGTTGAAATGTTTCGAGTCGAAAGATCAAATGAGATCCACAGCAGTGCTGCATGATTAAAAATGGATCGCTTAGCTTTAGATGTTCTACATCGTAATATGTTTAAGTCATTTGCCTGCCTAGTAAAGTGATTATGAACTTGCGAACGGATTACTAGCTTAGAACTAAGGTAGGCAGGTGCAAGACCATGAACTATTTTATACATCATAATAGCATTACGGTACAATAGAGAGTCGTTAACTGACAACCATCCCAGCTTATCTAAAGCCGGGATGATGTGATCATACTTTCTAGTTCCGGTTACGATTCGTGCTGCAAAGTTCTGTACTTGCTGTAGTTTCTTAACGTTCGTTTGGGTAGTGCCAGACCAAACCGTGGAGCAATAATAAAGTTTGCTAAATACTAGGCAGTTTATCATGACCAACAAGGCATTCTTGTTGAACAAGTGTCGAACTCCGTTGATTTGACACAGACTTGATGTTAGGATCGACGTCAATGAATTAATGTGATCGTCAAATGTCAGAGTGGCATCTAAAGTGAGACCAAGGTCTTTACAAACTGTGACAGGTGTTAATATTTTTCCTAGAAAAGGAATTGATAAGTTTGGCAGGTTTTTTATCCATTTCTCCATTCCAAATATCATAAACTCTGTCTTCATGGGATTTATTAGAAGCTTATTAGAACAACACCATTCTGCTATATTTCTGAGATCTTGGGAAAGGCTTAACAGGCCAAGGTTGGCTTCTGATAAGGAAAATGATATAAACGTCTTTTTGTCGTCAACATATGATTCTACGTCACAATTTGAAACAACTTTGGATAAATCGTTCATGTATATTGTAAACAGCAGTGGACCCAAGATGGAGCTTTGTGGTACTCCATATGCATGTTTCACCAATAAAGGAGTTGATGTAGATTGACCAATGCGTGTGACTTGATATCTATCGGATAGATAACTCTGAAACCAATCAACGCTAGAGGAAGAAGCGCCTACATATTGGAGCTTTTGGAGTGGTCTTTCATGGCAAATGCTGTCAAAGGCTTTACTCAGGTCTATTAAAGCCATTGCTGTAATCTTTTTTTCGTCCATTGCTCTAAAAATGTGGTCAGCGATAAGTAGGCTAATGGTTTCAGTGGAGTGTAACTTTCTATTTCCACTTTGATGGTTGGTTAATCTCTGCTTTTCAACTAAGTATTCTGTAAGCTGGATCAGAGCCAAGCGTTCAGCGATTTTGGAAAGTACTGGTAGTAGAGAAATAGGCCTGTTATTATCAGCCTATTCATGGTTGCCTTCCTTGAGGTGGGGTATCACTACCGCTTTTTTCCATTCACGTCGAAATGTGTTACTCTCGAAGGATAGATTTATCAGCTTGGTGACAGTATCCGAATTTTCGTGGAGACAGTTCTTAATTACTTTAACTGGGACTTTATCATATCCCGGTGCTTTGTTGTTGGGCATTGACAGGATAACTTTATTTACCTCCTCATATGTTACTGGTCTGAAATAAACGAAAATGCTAGGTTGGGGTAGGGTTTGGTTTAGGGCAGAGTCGTACTGGGGGTGTGAGTAGGCCAGGGCATGTGGGGACTCTTATATGAAACGTCGGCCAGAATAATGGCAGAAACTGTTCACGATGTACATGTATTTAAAATGGGGAATGTTAATTAATGCGTAAATTACCCCTATAAGGTATAGTATCATGTGAAGATACAGTTGGGAATCGAAATTGTCAAATATGGAATTGCTGTACATTACACGAAAGAGAAACTATAGAAACAAGACAATTCGGCATGTTTCCGGTTTTCGGCTAATATATATGGCAGTAATTGTTGCACGATTAAACTGTTTATTACGGGAAGTGCCAAAAGCAATGACTTCATTTTACCTCGCTTACCTCGCTGTAACGTTTACCTCGCTACTGCATCGAGCCAAATCTTTTCGAATTAAAACAACTTGTGATATTTATGAACACGGAAAAATCGTGGCTTGTGTGAAAAAAAAACCGCGGAACGATAGTGCATTTTACAAATGACTGGAAGCTCTGACGTCCCAACTCCGCGATAATTGAAGGTAACAAATTTCAGAGGCTCTGGAGTCTTCTAGTCGCGGTTGGTAACCGAAGTTTTATTGTGGATATCGGTACTTCAAACTTCCCTTTTTTCAATCACTGAATCCAGTTAGGAGCCACTTTTGAGAAATTTAAAGTCGAATTTGATATGTGTACAAAGCCGCATTTGAACTTGGTGCTTGTTATCGCTAAAGTTTGCCATAATAGTTGTGTAAAAGCATCATAAAACCAGGTAAGTTTCAAAGTAGAATTACTTTCACGTTCGTGGGCAAACAAATCATAAAATTTGGTTGAACACTTTCAAAATTATATGTATTTGCATTCGGCTAATTTTTATGCCTACTTAGACAGAAGATTTTCTGCGCGACAGCGCGCGACCGAAAAATCACTGGAATTTTAAAAATAAATAAAATTTCAAAATTCCAAACAGTGTTTGTTTATTCTTGGGATAAATACATTTCATTGTGAAAGTAACGAAGAATTTTATTTTTTGAGCCTAGAACCACTGGTCGGTTCTTAGAGGGATAGCCTCTAAATTCATTTCCAACCGTGCAGAATAGACATACAGAGTTTAGATGAATAAATATCAGCATTGACAATAATTTCCGGGTTTTCCCCGTGTAGCTAATTTTAATACGAAAGCGTACCACGTTTACCTCGTTGCATAGATCGAAATCTTTTTGAATTAAATCCACTTGTGATATTCATGAACAATCTTAACTACGATGATTTTAACGGCTTGTGTAAAAAACGGAACAACAACGCATTTTACAAGTGACTAGACAGATTTTGTAGGCGGGGTGCAGGTGGTGCTCTGCAGGGGGTGCTACCCCAATATTAGCTATAACACCCCCTTCCCCCCAAACAAAATGTCCACTCCTCCAAAAAAATTTTCAACCCCCCCCCCCTCAATATTTGGCATAATAAAATATAATTAAATAGTACACTGCAACGTGCAGAGTGTTGATGATGCAAAATAAACGTAGGAGTACACTCAATTTATTGGACCAATTGTAAAGTTTTGAAACTCTATATTATCTCCCCTGAATAGAGTTTGCAGTGCCTTCTCATGCAAATAGCTTGCTTGCAAGGAACGTTAGGAAATTTTACGAACATTATTTTTAGTTTTTAATTCTTTTAGGAAATAGTCTTGCCTAGATTTAATCTTTACGTCCCAAATATTATTTACATCGGAGTTGCATCATAAATTGTACTCGGACTCAAACGACACAATGTCAATGATTGTACAAAAGTAAAGGCATATTGTGTATTGGCCTATTGGGTTTACACTTTTACAGGTTCATTTAACTGTAACTCTTTCAAGTCTCAACAGACAATCGGACAGGCCAAATCCATTGATGTGACAACTTCAAAAAACGTTTTTTCGAAGCTAGAAATCATGATTTTTTTCAAATGTTTCCAAGAATACTTTGTTTTCTGCTCTCTAGACTCCCACTCGCGGCTCTAGTGCTCCTCCCCTAGAATATAGACCTTACTGAGGCTTGGTGACACTTTGTGTTGCTTCAGTCACCTGCTCGCGGCTCACCCCCTAAAATTTCTGGCACCACCCCAGTAAAAAATATGAAAATCCTTCTATGACTAGAAGCTCGATCTGACGTCTTTACTCCGCTATAATTGAAGCTAAACCAAATAGCCAAATTGCATCTAGTTTCAGAGGCTGCCGATCGAGTCTTCAAATCGCGGTTGGCAACAACTTTTAATATGGATATTGGTACTTCAAACATCCATTTTTTTTAACCATATTAGTCACTGAATCCAGTTAGATGCCACTTTTGAGAAATTTAAAGTCGAATTTGATATGAGTACAAAGCCGTATTTAGACCCGGTGCTTGTTATCGCTAATGTTTGTCATTAGCGTTCTGTAAAAGCATCATAAAACATGACAAGTTTCAAAGTACGATAATTTTCACGTTGGTGGGTGAAAAAATCATAAAATTTGGTTGAATATTTTTAAAATTATATGTATTTGAATTCGGCTAAATTCTATGCCTGATATAATGGCAGAAGATTTTCTGCGCGACGGCACGGGACCGAAAAATCGCTGAAATTTTAAAAATTAATAAAAATTCCAAATTCCAAATAGTGTTTGTTTGTTGTTGGGGTAAATACATTTCATTGTGAAAGTAACGAAGAATTTCATTTTTTGAGCCGAGAGTCATTGGTCGGTTCTTAGAGAGACAGCCTCTTAATTGTCTTACATATAGTTTTTTTACGCTCATTCTAGTGGTATAGTTTATTTTTCGTATAAGAGAGCATGAGATTTTACATTTTTTCCGATCGTAGTGTTTTAATAGGCAATATTTAAAAATTCTCAAATTTTTGGCTATAAAGCAAAAATCAGAAGTGGTAACACATATAGTCTTGTTCACCAAGGCTTGAACTATAAGAAAATGCCTGTTACCAGCTTCTATATAACTTAAAGTTGCCATCCAGTTGTACAAAATGATGACTTGGCCAGCCGTCTATCACGTTTATCAACTGTTTAGTATTTTATATGGCATCAGTGCTTATATTGGTTTATTTTAATACTGTTTACGACAGTTTTTCATGCTGAAAGCGATTTTTTAGTTGTCCTACTTTTTCGCACTGTAGTGACAGAACAACTAAAATTGATTGCGTTTTTACTGCTTTTAAGTGCTTTAATTCTTATATCTTCCCAGGTTTTCCTGATTTTAAACAGTTGTTGATATAACTTCAGTTCAGTTTGTTCTAAAATGTTTGTTTTGGTGAAGAATACTAGCGGTATTGAAGTGGTTATTAACAATGTTTGCAGTTTTGTTGATTTGTTATGGCGACCGAAAGTATTTGTCAAAAATTAACACGTTCAAAATTTAGCGAAATACAGGAAAAACAACCTTAATTGTCAATGAAAAACCTTTAATTAAATAGAATCATTAAACAATACATGGGGAACACAATAGGATGATTTTTATCATGCATACTCTCATATTTTTTTCAAAAGGAGCATAAATCTGTGACGTTCTAGGCAGGACATGAAAATGATATTTTCGCGTCGTGAAATCGTCCAAGACGACGTGGCAAACCAGAAGCTGACGATATTTGCGCCAAATGACGACATCCACGAAGTCTTTGAGGTCGCGTCGTCTTTTCGAAATCTGTTTATTATCTATGAAATGCCGTGGGTAACCATTAATTTTTAGGACATTTCTTAAATGTTCTAATTCATCGTCAATGTTACTTACTTCACAAATTGTTTTCGAACGGTTGATGAGTAGAATAGATTATAATGCAGATACCTGTTTGTTTCTGTTGGTTTTCTATAAATCTTATGTCTTAGCGACCCATCATCATATATAGTGAACAGAACATCTAAGAATGGTATAGTTTTATCATCCTTCTGTACTTCAAAGGTAAACTTGGTCGATGGATGCAAACTATTAATGTGATCTAGACACTTTTGTAAATTATTTAATCCATGAGACCAGCTACTCAATATATTATCCACGTATCTGAACCAGAAACCAGGTTTCAACGTTGCAGTAGCTCAGGCCTCCTTTTCAAATTCCTCCATGAACCAATTAGCCATAACAGGCGAAAATGGACTTCCCATTGGAGCGCCGTTTGTTTGTTCATAGAATTTCTCCCGCCATTGAAAACATGTCGTGGTCAAACATAGTTTCAACAAATCATGAACATTCACTCGAGAAAGATTAGTTCTTTGAGATAATGTAATATCTGAAAGAAGTCTTTCTTTCGCGATATTACAAGCCTCTTCAACTTGAACATTAGTGAACAAGCTAACTACGTCAAAACTTACCAGAATAGTGCTGAAAATTATAATAATAATATGTGACTTGTTATTATTATTATTATTATTATCATTATTCTTATTGTTATTATTATTATTATTAGACCTACATATTACATTTTTTGTTGCCGAAATAAGGAATGGGAAAATCCGGATTTACTAACAATTTGACTTATCTCATTGTATATATATGTATATATATATTGCATGCACTTTGTTCTGTTATTTTAGTTTAGTATAATTGTGATTCAAATAGCCAAACGTAAGTTACCTTTATGAGAGAGATTTACGATTGTATATGTATGTAAAGAAAAACATTTAATAAAGTTTCCATTATTATTATTATTATTATTATTATTATTACTATTATTATTATTATTATTATTACCGTCAAAACTTACCATGAGGCGAGCCAACAGATCAGGGCACTTTTATATATAAACAGAGGGTATGAAAACAAGTCACATATTATTAGCACTGATGAAGATCCGGGCTCACAAATCGAAAGCTTTGCAGTAATAAATTTACGTGGTGTTTCCACAAACAAAACCATTATATATTTTATCGCCATGCAAAGATATAGCTATAACTCTGCTATATATTAATATCGATAACAATTTTGCCATTTGAGGGGCTGGAACCAATCTTAATCCCTCTATTGTATCACACAGGTGGAGCGATGCTAAAAAATGCCTAGTCAGCAAGTTTTGTCCGATCTTGTTAAAGTTCGCCCGCGTGACGTCATGCATATAATTATGACGCGTGCTAATAATGATGCGCTACCACAGTCTATGCTAATGATAATGCGCTACCACCACACACCAACACCGCAAAAATCCGGATCAATCGGTACCTATATTACTACTCTCATGTATGACCTGTCAAGATTTATTAAGCTACAATCTTTGCCAGAAACTATGGACAGCTGCTGTAATTTCATATAATTTGAAAGGAATAGCGAGCCCGTTCCCCAGTTCAATATTGGGCCAACAAAAATCTGATGTGTGGATACGCGGCGCCAACATTGAAACGGGTTGGGGGAGGGAGGGTTGAAAATATGTATCAGGAAATGGTATATTACGACCAAATGTATGTGAAAACTTGATTGTCCCAATGTATATTGTCAAAGATTGTCTGTTGAAGTAATACCATTACTCTTAAATTTAACTTAATTCAACTTGTAGACATCATGAAGCTGTGTACGCAGATATATTTTCATAATTTATTCACCATATTTATTCGTTTAATTACCAAATTCCAAACACCATTGATCACCACCAAGACAATCTTTTCCAGAAACTATGAGACATCTGCTGTAATTTCATATAATTTGAAAGGAATAGCGCCCCCAGTTCCCCCAGTTCAATGCTGGGCAAACAAAATCTGATGTGTGGAAACGCGGCGCCAACATTGAAACGGGGAGGGGGGATATGTATCAGGAAATGATATATTACAACCGAATACATGTGAAAACTAGATTGTCCCAATCTATATTGTCAAAGATTGTAGCCTTTCATGAATACAACTACATTTATTTGCGCGATGTAGCTCCAAAATTTTTTTCGCTATTGTAAAGCAAATGGCTGAACTTTTGGGCCATCCGGTAGTTGTCATTTTCGTATTTGTTTAATTAGGCTGCGAGCGGTCCTCCTTTCCACGGGTTTAGATTTCCGGGTTTATAAGAAGAATTTTTCAATGCAAAAATCTTCTTAATTCTTATAACCATTATACGAAGATTTAAGACAATTTAAGAAAATTTTCAATTTCAAATAAAAAATATGATGACGTCATTTTTTATATAAATAATATGACCTACAATATATAGATACTAAAATAACTAATAATGTTACAAGGTGTTCACGAATAAGTCATGATATGTCATAAAATCCACTTGCCGCACTATCGTTGGCATTCATCAAACTACAGGTAGTGAGGTACAGACTATATGGAATTATTTAACACTACAAACTGTTACATTTTTTGTTAAGGTACATTTTTTGTACATCTTTTTAAATTAATCCCAAACAAACTTCTTATAGTAATATAAGATATTATATAAGTATATGCCAAAACTCGCATTGGTCGAAATCGATACGCCTGTCAATCAAATGTAATACGTAGTAATTATTCCATTAATTAATTTCCAGACTGAATGTTGATTTAATAACATGACATTAACGTTCCTGTTCGATAGATTTAGAAGGAAAAAAAATGTTTATGCAAAGGCGGAGCCAACTTGACAAGAGCGAAAAGTGGACGTATTTCGTTTCTTGATATGTTGTCGGCGGTCCTTTCTCCCGAGGGAGTGCTCGCGGTCTATCGTTTAATTAATGATCTTTCCGCCATTGTTTTTGCTCGAAACCTCTCGAAGGCTGTTCCTATGTTACCACGGCTGTTACTGCTGACCTAAGAAACTGTTGCTACAAAAATACTCGCTCAAAGTCGTGGGAAAATTGAAATTAGATTGTTCACACTGTGTTGTTGAGCCGGAAATATATTGTTGGAAATCACAATAGTTAGTGGACATATTGAACAACCCTCTCGTTACTTCATTGTGAATTTAACTTGTATGTTTCAAATATTTGCATAAATATCGGAGCAATTAACGTATTTTTAACTATATACAGATATCGCGATTTTGAAACTTTGAAAAACAAGCGAATTAACATATATTACAGTTGATTTCTGTTTTTCTGATTCGTCGAACAATTACTCTTTCCACTTCATAATATTTTCCAGTGTTCTTGGTTGATTTTGTGTAAGAATCGGCAGTACTTAAATTATTTAGTTCATTATAATACCGTCATCTTAAAATCACCAGCAATAAAATGAGCCTGCAATCCCATGACGCTGAGTGTATGAAATTTCTATGCATGTTTTTTGTATACGTAGCTACAAAAGCTCAATTGAACTCGTTTCTACTTCTATTTTGCAGTCCAGGATCGGTGGGCGTCGACTACGTCGCAACGTTTAACAACACGAATGGAGTAAATAATCAAAATTTACAGCAAGAATTGATCGAGACATTCAACTATACAAATAATGGCACATTTCTTGGTGATAGCGACCTTAAACTAAGCGAGGAGACTAATAAAACAAAAGTGGCCGAGGTTTTGACATTTCAAGGTAGCTGTGGCATGCAATCTTATATAAAGCTTATTAGTATAAATTTTTCAAACCAAATGAGCTTCTGCGCGTGTAATTGGCTAGTTGTCTAGTGAATCTGATGCAATATTTACTAGCAGACTGGTAAATAACGCTTTTCAAAAGTGGTTCGGCAAACTTAAATTTGCTTTAAAAATTGAAAAATTGTTGAAACTTTTGTCGTCAGAAAACAATCCCGACTGTTTGCAAAACCTTGCTGTGATATTGTTTTAAAACCATTTTGTTATGTATCCTATATACATATCATGTTTTTATTGTGGTCTACTGTATCCTGATCGACTTTCTAAATTGTATTTTCCAAACTTGTAAAGTGAAAAGTTTACTATGCAATTTTTTTTTTGAGCAACAGTTTTATTTTATCAAATTTTTCAGGCTTTTCCTTAACAAACTTAACCAGAATCTATTTTTTAATTCCAAGTTTAGTGGAAAAGTTATTTTGTCATTGTGTTTTATATTCTAAGCAGAGATTCAGCGATAAAAACAACTTTGTAATAAAACAATAAAGAAACACCCAACACGTTTGGAGTTAATTCAACTTTATGCTTAAAATTTACAGTAAACACGAAGCTTTAGGAAGATGTTCTGTGCCTGATTGACTATGACAATGACAAAAGATGTAATTGGCTTACATAAACAAAAGGAATATTCTTCTTGCTTCGTTCTTTAGAAAATCCATTCTATAGCTTATTCTTTTGTCATTGTCATAATCAACCAATCACAGAACATCTTCCTAGAGCTTCGTGCGCACAAGGCCTCCCAGAGGCGGGGAATGGGCAAAGGGGGAAATTTGCTTTGGACCCCAAGTTAAAGGGCCCCAAAATTTTGCAAAAGGGGGGCACAAACGGTGTAACTTCAGAAAATAGTATGAGAAAATAGTGTGAGAAAAAAATTAAACCTTGAATTTTACTAGTATTGGTCTGGAAAAATGTGTTTTATTTGTGTTTTTACAGGTATTGTACAGGTATTTTTCCAGAAACATTTTTTGAACCTTTTTTTTAATATCTGGAAATATTTTTAACCCCCCCCCCTGCTCGCCACCATTTTTAGGAACAATTAGGGCCCAGAATTACAAATTTGCACCGGCCCTTCTAATTTCTCTGGGAGGCCCTGCTTGTGCGTACAAGAAACACTGCAATACCAAAATAATTCTCAATTATTAAACTGAATTAACTGATATTTCGACATGTTGTTTTATTCTTTTTAAAGTTTGTTCATTCTCTGCAGTTAGGTATATCAATCATGTTTCGCTCGCTACTCTGTTTTAAATAAATGATTACAAAGCCCAGTCGAATTGTAATCAGGACCAAACATTTCGACACTCCAATCTAGTGTCTTCAACAGGGGTGATCTAAATTTGCAATCGTGGCTTCTTAAATACCCAAGGGATGACGTCACCTGCCAATGAGATGCATATATTCCTCTGACAAATAGGCACCGTCATTTATATTCAAAGCATGATTACTCATATTTATATGCCACGCTTCTAGGCAAAGTCTTTGACCATAGCGATTGTTTGTGGTAATTACGAGTTTTCCCGCGCAATCTCGTTTTTGGTGTAACATACATGTTCGGCTAAAGCTGATTTTCCCTTGTCTAAAGTTGAAACAGCCTTTTCATGTTCTTTTAGCCGTGTACCAAACTGGCGTTGAGACTGACCCAAATACTCTTTCTCGCAGTCACCGCATGGTATAGAATATACACTAGGAGTTTTCTGATTTGTTTTAACCGGATCTTTTGGCTTTGCGAAAATATGGCCTAAAACCTTTTTTGACTGTAGGTCATATTTTTGCAAAGCCAAAAGATCCTGTTAAAACAAATCAGAAAACTCATAGTGTATATTCTATACCATGCGGTGACTGCGAGAAAGAGTATTTGGGTCAGTTTAAACGCCAGTTTGGTACCCGGCAAAAAGAACATCAAAAGGCTGTTTCAAATAAAGACAAGGGAAAATCAACTTGTTACACCAAACACGAGATTGCGTGTGAAAACTCTAAAGTAATTACCACAAACAATCGCTATGGTCAAAGACTTTGCCTAGAAGCGTGGCATATAAATATGACTAATCATGCTTTGAATAGGAATGACGGTGCCTATTTGCAAAAGAATATATGATCTCATTGGCAGGTGACGTCATCCATTGGGTATTTAAGAAGCCACGATTGCAATTTTAGATCACCTCTGATGAGGATATTAGATTGGAGTGTCGAAACGTTGGGTTCTGATTAAAATTCGACAGGGCTTTGTAATCATATATTTAACCCAAGAGTAGCGAGCGAAACATGATTGTTTTATTTTGTTAAAATAATATACCAAAACAATTATTCGCCTCAAGCTCAGTGATTATTGGTGAATATTTACCACGACTTCGTCTCGGTGAACATTATACAAATAACGAATGTTTATGAGAACAATGGCAAAAATATTTTCATGTTTCCATTCGACGAAGGCGATAGGCGTTTGGAATGGAAAATTCCATCTTTCACCGAATGAAAATATTTTTATTATGCACGAATGAAAACATTCATTATTGTAAACATACGTTGGTGTAGGTGTCTTAATGTCTTAATGGAACTTTACTTTCAGATTACGACGAATGCAATCCTGCAGTGTCTGTCCACACGCCTGATTGTGGTAACAATGCAACATGTGTCAACACAAATACAAGTTATGACTGTATCTGTGATGCAGGATTTATTCAAAATGGTACCGGATGTAGTAGTAAGTATGAACATCCTTGGTATCCCACGGAAATTGTGTGTACATGCATGTTCCTTTTACAAATTAATAGAATTCTAAAATTATGCTAATGTGATATTGTACGAAAATCGTCAGGTCACGTGAACATTTTTCGCTTTTGATGACGTCCACATGTGGTGAAAACTTGGTCATGCTTCCAAAAAAATATCGTTATCATTATGAGGCCACTCATATGTAAAGTAAAGTCACCTCATTAAATCAAAATCCTCCATCCCGTTATATCACATATATATAACTAGAAATACATGCATGCAGCAACCCCTCGCCTATGTTTTCCAAACATTGACTTACATGAAGTACTGTATTAGTAATTGATCAACGCTGAACGCAGGCTCGCGTTTACGACAGTGTTGTCATGGCAACACGAAAATCTTAATTAAATTTTATATTTTTTTGAAAAAGACGCCAAAAATAATTGAAAGATTATTGCTTTTAATTATATAACAATCAATTTCCGAATTATATACTGCTGGTATGTTATTTTGCTTTTTGTGAGCTTTCATTTAATATAAAATTTAAACTGAATCGCTTCGTAAAATGTTTTGAAATGTACAATTTTGATAACTAAACTGCTTTTGTCGTGTTTGCCGATGAACTGTTTTTAACACATATAAGTTCAAATTGTGGAGTAATTTCAGTTAGGTCTTCAAATTAATTTGTTCTCCTTTACATTTTACCTTTTTTTCTTGAATTAAACAGGGTAATTTAGGAAACTTACAGCTTGACTGAAAGAGAAAGCTGCATATGTACTTTTAATACGCAAGAAATTATTAAAAGCAACAAAATTTATGACAATAACATTCAAAGCAAACTTGCACCATATTTCACGATTCCCATAGTAAATCAATTCTTCTCATTTCTTCAAACAAAAATTGCTTCAAAGCTCATTGTATGAAACGTGATTTTCCAAATATATGCTTTTGAAAATTGAAATCTTGCTTATCCCACTCCTAGCAAACAGCCATATTTTTAAGATCAGTGAGGAGGTCCACCCATGAACCATAGTCACGCGCCCGCGATAATTGATGAACTTTAGACTTCGCTAATGCTTTCCTTTCTCCGGGTGTAAATAGCCGGGGGGAATTAGTACCCTCGCACGGCGCTTCGCGCCGTCGGCTCGGGGATAATATACATAAAGGTATTACTCGACTGTGATTGGTTGATTTCGGTGCAGTTAATTCCGAACAGCAGTGCAATTTTCTGTAAATT